ATATAAAATATATATTAAATATAGTTAAGTTCCACTTACATTTATATATAGGCTAGGGGCTCGGCAACACGAAAGATTAGAATAGATGTGTAAACGAGTCTTAAACTATGTCGTATACCCTTCAAAACATTCCCCATGCATACATGCGTATGCCGCAATCAGACTGTGTGAAGAGTATCACATAGTCGTTTGCATTGGAATATAAGGTGCTGCCCTTGTTGCAGTTAGGTGCGGGAGAGAGTGAGTGGGAGATAGCCGCCAGACTTAGCTCGGAATGAACAACAGCATTTGCTTGAGACAGACCGGCCCAACAGTAATAACGGCAAATAAACAAACAAACATATATACACACAGACATATAAATATGTATGTATATGTGTATGTGTGTGTACGCATACGATCTGCATATGAATTGCGGTAGTCCCCTAACCACAGGAATAGTCTATGAATATTACACATACGCCACATTGTATTTAGTAGAAAGCAAATCAGTTTTTACTTTTTATTGCTATTGTTTCTGAACAAGACTCGAACAAAATTAAAGACACATTTTTAATATTGAAATCAAATGAATAATTTAGTTTATGAAACACGAAACTGTTTAGATTTGATTGTAATGATAAAAGCAGTTATAACGCTTAAGAATAGAAAGCCAAGGTTTGTTTTGTAAGAAAGCTCTTCAAAAAAGCTTCCTGTAACGGCAACGAATGAGGAGAAAGAGAACAGAAAAATTGATCGATTATGAATGCACGTAAAACATTTGCACATATAGAAATACAATTTTAAAAATTTATAATGCATATAATTTAAAAAAAAAAAAAAAAAAAAAAATGTGAAGAATATCTTGAAAATTAAACTGATGAACAAAAACGTATGATTTTTGAACTTCAATAAAATTCGAAAAGTTATTGCCTCGAAATCATGCTAAATCAACGTTTTTTGTTTAAAGTCTTACATAACATTTCAATATGAAGTATTAGATAATGTTATTACTCCTGCCTGCCTATCAAACGATTCCCTCAAGTTGAAATTGGATATACGTTCTTTTATTTTTTAACGTAACACTGCAGTGTGCACATATACATACATACATACATATGTGCATACATGTGTGCATATGTATGTGCTGGCTGTTAGCATTACGTAAGGCAATGGCTTCCAATGGTTCGTTTGCTCAGCAGATTTCATAAATTTAATACGAACAAAATTATGAAACTCAAGCTGAAATGAACATTTTTGCAGAATATTTACTTTCATTTTTGCCTCTCTTCTAAAATCCAAGCGACGCTACTTATAATTATTTCTCTTATAAGTAGATTTCTGTGAAGCCGGCATTTATGCGTCTTGCTTCTGTTTATGTACTTATACATACGTTATACGTTGATGTGCTTAGTATTTGTTTTGTTTAGCGTCCGACTGCATAACGGCATCCGTCAGCAGTCGCAGCTGCAGCTGCAGCTACACGTGAGTCCAATAACAACCAAACGCTTCTCTCATTTCTCTTTGTGAATACTACGCGCAAATGCCATCTCTGTCACACCTCAGCTGACTTGCCCAAGAGATTTTGCTGTTCGTTAAACGTGACGACAATTTCATTACGATGTCTCTCTCTCCCTCTCTCTCTTCACGCTGAATCAACGCGAAATCTATTCTAATATGACTCAATTATGTGAATGCCAAACAATTAGTGAGCTGTTGGAATTATCAATGAACTTGCATCGAATTTTAATGTAATATTTTTTCTGAATGAGAATTATATTGTTTTTTTTTTTTTCGAGCTGTAGTTGTAATGTTGGTAAAAAATAGAATGCAATAATTTCGCTGAAAGCTTAAGGTTAGAAAGATATTTCTACTCTAAAGCTTAGAGTGTTATGTGAGATTGAAGTTTAAGCGTAGTAAAAATGTTCTATATATAATAATAATAACTCGTAATAATCAAAGTGTGATATAGGTAATCCTTTCAAAAAATAATAATCGAAAAATATAATAATACAAGTTGTTTGAAAACTTTACAAGAAACTCTTTCTAAAAATGAAAGTTTTCAAAAATTTTATTACAATTAATATATTTTATATTGTATTTAATAACTTTGTATTCTTCATGCCGTTTGTAGAGTAATTTAACCAACATTACGTTGTATATTATACTTTTAGGCGCAACCAACTATTGATTCTGTTGAAAAAACTTTGCGAATACTTTTGAAACACTGTAGAAGCTATTTATAGCGAAGATATTTATCAAAATGGAGGGAGAATCCACGGAGTCAACACACAATACCAAAGTATCCGATTCGGCATACTCCAACAGCTGCAGCAACAGTCAGTCACAGCGCAGGTGAGTTGAATGGAGCGATCCAGGCGTTTCCTGAGCACCCTAAGCTGATGCTCTCTATTCCGATCCCCGTATCTCCAGTGGCAGCTCAAAGTCGCGTTTAAGTGGCAGCCACTCCTCCGGCAGCAGTGGCTATGGGGGTAAGCCCTCGACCCAGGCCAGCAGCAGCGACATGATCATCAAGCGGAACAAGGAGAAGTCCCGCAAGAAAAAGAAGGCCAAATGCACGGCGCAAACATCGACAGTGACATCGCTGGAGAACAACGATGAGCAGCTGGTGCCACAGCCGTGTAGCTCGGTCAGCTGTGAGCAGCTCCAGGAGCTGCAGGACACACAAAAGTTCTGTGAGCCGCCGGCATGCGATCAGAAGAAGCTGAGCGAACAGCTGCTCGCCGTGGATGACAGTGAGGCGACTAAGAGCAAACAAAGCGACCAGGCCCAACAGCTGCCCGCCGTGGCACCCCTCTCCGCCAGCTGCAGCCTGCAGCCGGGCAACGTTCCGATTGCGTCGAGCCATGGCCAGGCGAGCGGCAGTGGCGGCGGTGTCAAGCCGGACAAGGCATACGAAGCGCTGCCGAGCAAACTGGAGACGATGGCCGCTGGCGTGGGCAAGACACAGCATCCGGAGAGGGTAAAGGAGGAGAGCTTCTGCTGTGTTATCTCCATGCACGACGGAGTTGTGCTCTACACCACACCCAGCATTACGGACGTCCTGGGCTTTCCGCGCGACATGTGGCTAGGTCGTTCCTTCATCGATTTTGTCCATCTAAAGGATCGGGCGACATTTGCCAGCCAAATCACGACCGGCATACCCATCGCCGAGTCACGTGGCAGCGTACCCAAGGATGCGAGATGCACCTTCTGCGTTATGCTGCGACGTTATCGCGGCCTCACCTCGGGTGGCTTCGGTGTGATCGGGCGCGCCGTCAACTATGAGCCCTTCCGCTTGGGCTTAACATTCAGGGAGGCGCCCGAGGAGGCCCGGCCGGACAACTACATGGTATCGAATGGCGCCAACATGTTGCTCGTTATCTCAGCGACGCCCATCAGGAGCAGCTACAAAGGTGAGCTAAGAATTCATTTTAGAACTCCATCCACTTATACACATCCTCGTTTCCCGTTCCTCCTGTCTTCAGTTCCCGATGAGATTCTCTCGCCGAAAAGTCCCAAGTTCGCCATTCGACACACGGCCACGGCGATTATCTCGCATGTGGACAATGCCTCGGTCAGCGCACTTGGGTACTTGCCACAGGATCTGATTGGACGTTCCATCATGGATTTCTATCATCACGAAGATTTGGCGATCATGAAGGACACCTACGAGAAGGTCATGAAGAAGGGACAAACCGCTGGCTCCTCGTTCTGCAGCAAACCCTATCGTTTTCTCATCCAAAACGGCTGCTACATCCTCCTCGAGACGGAATGGACGAGCTTCGTGAATCCCTGGTCACGTAAACTGGAGTTTGTTGTGGGGCATCATCGTGTATTTCAGGGTAAGTCGTTGAGTCAGTCGAACCCCACCGAAAGCAAATTGAAATAGATCATTATTTTCTCCATTTATCTCGCACTGACCGCAGGTCCCAAGCATTGCAATGTATTTGAGATGGCGCCAAATACAAAGCCCAAAATATCGGAGGACGCACAGAATCGGAACGCGCGCATCAAGGAGGATATTGTTAAGCTGCTGGCCGAGACGGTATCCCGTCCATCGGACACCGTTAAGCAGGAGGTATCGCGTCGCTGCCAGGCGCTGGCTAGCTTCATGGAAACGCTGATGGATGAGGTGACGCGGGCCGATCTCAAACTGGAGCTACCCCATGAGAACGAATTGACGGTGTCGGAGCGTGATAGCGTGATGCTTGGCGAAATATCGCCGCATCATGACTACTATGACAGTAAGAGATCCACTGAGACGCCGCCCACCTACAATCGGCTTAACTATAACGAGAACCTGCTGCGTTTTTTTAACAGCAAGCCTGTGACCGCGCCCGTGGAGCTCGATCCGCCGAAATTGGAATCATCCTATATGAGTAGCGCCCGGGAAGATGCCCGCAGCACCCTTAGTCCCGTACACGGATTCGAGGGTAGCGGCGGCAGCGGCTCATCCGGCAACTTCACAACCGGCAGCAATGTCCGAATGAGCAGTGTCACGAACACTAGCAATGCCGGCACCGGCACCTCGGCCGGTGACAATTCCGCCGGCGGCAACGGTAGCGGCAACAGCAACAGTGCCCCGGCCGTCACAGTGACCCTAACCGAGTCGCTGCTGAACAAGCACAACGACGAAATGGAAAAGTTCATGCTGAAGAAGCACCGCGAGCTGCGCGGCCGCAACGGTGAGAAGAGCAAGAAATCGGCCAACGAGAAGATGCTCGAGTACACGGGACCGGGTCATGGGCATGGCATGAAACGCGGCGGTTCTCATTCGTGGGAGGGCGAGGCGAACAAGCCCAAGCAGCAGCTGACCTTGTCAACCAATGTGGGCGTCGGTGTGGGCGTGGGCGTCGGTGTCGGCGTCGGCGTACCCGTACCCGTACCGGACACCCTCTCCAAGTGGCAGGCCCCAAGTGCGCCGACCACACAGTACGTGGCGAACAACCTGAACTGCGCCCAGAACATCAACTTGTGGCCGCCGTTCTCGCTGGGCATCACCACGCCCTCGGCGCACAGCAGCCACACGGCTGTGGCACAGCGCAGCTTCTCGCCCCAGCACAGTCTCTTCCCCGCCTTCTATTACATACCGGCCCCGTTGGCCAACGCCACGCCGGCGGCGCCCAGCGTCAGTCCGCAGCGCAGTCACAAGAGCTGCGAGCAGCCGAGCACTTCGCAACAGGCCGCTGCAGCGACGGCGATGCCGTTGCAGTACATGGCCGGCGTTATGTACCCGCATCCGTCGCTCTTCTATACGCATCCGGCGGCGGCTGCGGCCACAGCCATGATGTACCAGCCAATGCCATTCTCCAGTGTCACCAACACGATGCAGCTGGCGGACCGCTCCAGTGGCTCACAGTCTAGCTACAACAAGCCCGTCTATGCGGTAGGTCTTCGTCGGTCATTAGCATCGATCATTGAATTGATCGTTATAATTGCAACTGAAATTATCCCAATTTATCCCAATTATCTTGCAGTCCCAGCAATCGCCACCTTCGTCGTCGAACAAGACACCGGGCGCCTTCCACTCGGTGACACCCTCCCAGCAGCAGAAGGCCTCGTCGCAGGCGACTTCCGTGAAGGCGGAGCCCGGCTCGAATTTGGCGCCATCGGATTCGTCCAAGAAGGGCATACCCGACTCGCCGATGGCCTCGGTCACCGGCGAAGGCTACTCCTCCGATCAGCCCAGCAATCCGCTCATTTTGAAGGTGCCGTCTGCTAGTGCTGTTGCACATACCACAAATCCAAACAGGCTAACCCCTCCTCTTTCCTTGCCGTTTCTAGCAAAAGTACACGGACAGCAATGGCAACAGCGACGACATGGATGGCTCCAGTTTCTCCTCGTTCTACTCGTCCTTCATCAAGACAACGGATGGCTCGGACAGTCCGCCCGACAATGACAAAGAGACCAAACACCGTAAACTCAAGGTAGGCTTGATAAGAATTTGGGAATACTTTGACTGAACTTTGACTGGAGAATGGGCATGCGAAATGTCTTTGAATGTCTTGTTAAGATCTTTTATAAATTAAAGTTCAGAAATATTCCTAATGAACAAGATGGAAGCCTGAGGATGGCCGGTAGAGCTAGATAATTATAGGGAATCTTGCAGATTATTGAATATACCCATTAAGCACTCTCAACTGTTTACAGGATGCACAAAAGCCATAGAAACTAACATTCATTTCCATTCTGCAGTCCGTCATGCAGTCGGATAACAAAATCGTGGAGCATCCGGAGGAGGATCAGACCCAACACGGCGACGGATAACAGATGACGGCGCAGCTACAGCTGTGCCCATTGCTCCAAACCAGCTGCAGCGTTTGATCTAGCTGCAGCCTTGGTCCAGAGTCGCCCAAAAACTCAACGCCAACCGAATGGGCGAGCATTACTTAGGTGGGTAACAGCTCCTGGGATTCTCTCGCTCATTCTCTCTCTTATACTCGCTCTTTCAGAGTTGCCCATACGCACACACATATATACGCATGTGCGTATGTGTGTGTGGGTGTACGTGTTTGTGTCTGTGTTTGTGTATCGCTTGTACTTCACTTGTGCTGGAAGGAGTCGCAGAGATGTCAAGATGCCAAAGATCTAAGATCGAGGATACAATAACTCAAAAGTAGCCAAAGTGCTCGACTGGACTGATAGCCTAGAACCATAAGCTCTTGCTCAAAACACATTCACATCCACAAACTCTATATTTATATATAAACATTATGCTTAAGGCTGTGCTTCTTAACTTAGCTCCACATTTTGGAAAAGTTCCTTAGTTTTCTATCTAATATATATACATACATTTTTTCGGAGCTAAAATATACGCAAGGTTCATACCTTATAAAACCTAAACATAAAGGCTTTTACATTCGGGATGTGGGAAAGACGATTAAGGTAATCCAAACATCGATAATTATCGACTGATTAATAGAAGATATATGTTTTCAGGCTGTATTTTGAATGCCTTGAGTCCAAGATATATTGATATACAGATTAGATTAACCCTAGGTCTACCCAACAACTTCCAGACTGTCTACAAGCTAACTGCTAATCGATTATCGATCACAGTAAATCCCATATATCATACATCAGTGTAATCTAAGATCTTATTCTTTTAGAAAGAATTCATCATATGGTATTTTGTCGAATAACATTTGTAAGACAGTTCTATAGGCACGATCGGCGGCTTCTAATATCTTCGGCTGTATGTCCGCTGATAGAGCGCTCCACTCATCGTTGAGGACCTTCAAGGTGCTGTCCCGCAGCTCCACATTATCGTCGAACAGATTCGACATATTAAACGATCCGCTAAAGGAGTAAAAATTTTAATTATTTTGATGGTATTATATGACAACTGGGTAAATACGTATTCCGACTTAAAGCGAAGGACTATCCATATATTCTATGAGAAATTTTGACGAGTACAGCTCGAAAATTTCGTTAGAGATTTACAATTGACATGACAGTTGACATGACAGTTGACATGAAGTTTAACTTTAGCATGAGGTGGTTATTTATAGCTCTACTTCCTCAATACATTACTCAAATCTAAGAATTAAACCCTTCCAATTTACTATTTTATCGATACTCACGAGCTCACTTTGGCGACCGTTTTGTAGTCGGTGATCTTCAGATAGGAATGTCCGTCCGGTCGTTGCTCCGGCACAGCAGTGAGGCGAGTTTTGGACTGCATTTGGCTTAGATTGATGACCATCGTGCCTTTGCTGACAATGGGCAGGATCAGTAGCTTGCCATCAACTTCGTAGTTGGCCCGGACTTCAATGTCGGGCGAATTGACGATCCAAATCAATTTCAGCGGCTTCGTGAGATCCGCAGAGAAGCCCTTCACGCTCCTGAGGATCGCTCTGTCGGAAAAGTGGTGCAGCGTCGTGTCTCGCATGATCAGACTGAACTGCATCGAATCGCTCGCTCCGCCGCTCTTGATGCGCAGCGTGCCCAGCTGCAGGGGCTCTACGCTGGGTATATTCCAGGCGGGCAAGCCGTACTTGAAGTCACGGAAATAGATTTTCGCCTGCTCCAAAATGCAAGCCTCGTCGTGCAGAGTGCAGTGTTTCATCGGGCTAGCTGCAAGCAGGTTTTGCCATTAACTTTACAAGGCACCCCAACCAACTGGCAAAACGAAGCACGAAACTTACGCAAAATCTCAGCACCGACTGCAGCCCAAAGAGCAGTCGCAACTGTAAAAATAATTAAATGCTTTCCGTACGACATTCTCCGTGTTCGTCTCTAGATCTGCGACTAAATCGATGCGAACGCGTGCGATTCGTTTTTATAACTGCCTTACCCGCTAACTGCTCGGCTGGAGCTCAGATCGGGTGAGGTGTGAACGTGTTAATCTCCAGTTGCCATTAGCCAGGCAAATATAGAATTAATCGTAGCAAGTTGAACTGTGAACCTCTACGGTCATTAGCTACTCCCAATTGCCTAATAGTTGGCGGGTGCTTAAAGCCACCATAAAGTGTCGGAAATTCTTTTTGAATAATCATTATTAACAGCAATTAATAGAGCGACGTCAAGTGTCGAATTGCATTTTTCGAAGAACTTGTATTTTTTATTTTTCTATATTCCCGATTTACTTCTCTAACTGCCTATCTCTCTCTATATATATATTTATATATACCTATATATCTATGTATATACATCTTATCATCCTCAATACTCCCTCAATATTTCTCTCCGCATCGAATCAATCTCTTTCAGTAGCTTTCTCTCTCTATATATCTCTCCTTCTCATTTCTCTTCACCAACCTAATACTCTATATATATATATATCTCTCGCTCTCATTTCTCTCCCCCGCTCTTGCACTTTTCTCAGTATCAGTTTCTCTCTTTCGCTCTTAATATATCTTTTTCTCTCTTTCTTAATATATATTTCTCTGTCTCTCTCTCTCTCTCTCTCTCTCTCTCATTATATCATTATCTCTCTCTCTCCCTGTTAATATATATTTCTCTCTCTCTCTCTATCTGCTACACACACACACTCTCTCTCTCTCTCTCGCACACTATATCCCTCTTAATAACCCTCATTAATAATTGTGTCTCAAATTATTCCCATTCTCACTCTATATCTCACTCTCTCTGCCTCTCCCTTTCTGGCCCTCATTCTCTCCCTCTCTCTCGCTTCCACCCTCCTCGCTCACTGCCTTTCACTCTCTATCCATTTGTCCCTTTGACTCTCTCTCTCTCTCTCTCTACAATTTTCTCTCCAATTTTCCGAAATAATTTACAGGGCATTTCATAGTCTATCATATACTATATACAATAGCTGGCGGTTTAGTTGCGTACTTCACTGGTATTGAGCACACATCACTTATTAGGGGTTAAATGACAAGCACTAGACATTGTCATCGCAAATACAACTAAAATCTTACCTGTCGGAGGCCTATAGCATATATAGTATATACCATCTTTACCAGATACATCCCATATATTATTTAGGCAATGCTTATGGGCACGCTTCACTTATATTTATAAATTATATAATTGCTCTATTAGAACGTAATTAGAGCAGGAATTTATGTAGCCTTTAGCCACCTAACCTTAAAAAAATCATTGAATTTAGGTTAAGGTGAATTGCKTTTTTATTGAAGCTTAATATAAATAGAAATAAATGGCAGAAAGTCAGTCAATGATCATAGATATAGACTTGGGTAAGAAAACTTAGTATGTTCTATCCAAGCCTACCTACCTACCTATTCCTAATTTGGAATCATTTCTCAATATTTGGAATCGACTTGTAAACTAATGTTTCAAAAACCTAAAGAACTCGAATTTCCCTCCAGCCCAAATTTAGGGTACACCTATAACACTAAATGCTGACAAATTTCGCTTGTGTTTTATAGAACTAAATATAATAATAATCTCATCATATTAAAAATTGACGCTTTTAATATTTTACATAAAAATGATTTATTCAGGAAATTGGCTAAGAAAAATAAAATTTGTATCTAAAATGTTAAGGCATTTTTGAAATTGTTGTCTGAGAGGTGCTCAACAGGTGCAAAGGTGCTGTCGAGCAGTTGATACATAATGAGTAACCGCTTCAAGCGGACGGGCTATTAAGAAGTGCAAACAGTTAAATGGGATTTATGGGGAATATGTTATGAGCAATCGAAAGCCTAATTGCGGAATCAATTAAAAATATAAACAGCTTTATTTACATTTATCGAACTTGAACCGGCTTCAACGGTCTAACGAGTGAATAGAAGGCTGGGCTCTTGAAATATGTTTGATAAGAGAGGTGAAGCAAGAAGAGCTGCTAAAGCAGTTAGAGGAGGAGCAGGAAGAGGAGGAGGAGGAGGAGGCGGAGACGTAGGCGACACAGTTGTTAAGCGTCATCGTTCGTTTTCGGCTTTTTGATTGTCCTTGGTGCAGCACCTTACGATTGTGACTGATCCGTGCCAAGATTCTTTAGCGATTGCTCAAACTCCACCGAGTCCACCTGACGTTTGGTTGGATCAAAGGGTGGCGGACCGATTAAATTTACCACTTCATCATAATCTAGCGTCTCCTTATCCAACAATGCCTCTGCCAGCTACCAAGAGAGATAGCGAAAGAGCGAGGGAGAGAGAGAAAGAGAGACAGATTTAGTTAGAATGGAAGAGAGATAAGAGACGTGTTGCCTTGCCTTCTCCAGTTTGTCGCGATGTTTAATCAGCAGCTCCTCGGTTGTCCTGTAGGCCTCGGAGACAACGCTGCGCGCCTCGTGATCAATAATGCTGTCCATGGCACGGGAGAAGGGCTTGGCGCTGCCGCTGGCGCCGCCGCCGCCAGATTCATTCGCGTCGCGCACATAGATCGGGCCCAGCTTCTCGTTCATGCCAAATTTCTTAATCTGCGAATAGGCTATCTTGGTGACCTTCTCCAAATCGTTTTGGGCACCAGTCGTAATGCGCTTAAAGACCAAATTCTCGGCTGCACGTCCGCCCAGTGCCATGCACATCTTATCGAATAGCTCCTCCTTGGAGTATAAATGCTGCTCGCTGGGCGTGTATTGGGCAAAGCCCAGGGCCAAGCTAGTGCGCGGCACAATTGTCACCTTCAGCAAGATATCCGAATTGGGCAGCATCCAGCCAACCAGAGCGTGTCCACTCTCATGATACGCGATCACCTTGCGTTCGGTGAGCGACAGAGCATGCGAACGCTTCTCGGTGCCACCTGAAACAACAACAGATTAATTGATTCGCTCACACACAGTGATAAAGAGAGACAGAGAGGGAGAGAGCCCGGAATTCTCGACACGCACCCACTAAACGCTCGACGGCGTATTCAAGATTTTTGCTAGTGACCTCTGCTTGAACGCTGCGCGCCGCATGCAATGCTGCCTCGTTGCACACATTCGCAATGTCGGCGCCCGAGAAGCCGGGCGTGAGGCGTGCCAAACGTTGTGAATAGGTGCTGGGCGGTTCGGCCAGCTTAATTCCCGACAAGTGCTTCTCGAATATCTCTTTGCGTTCCTGCAGCGTCGGCAGATCAATAAGTATGTGACGATCGAAGCGACCAGGTCGAAGCAAAGCCTGCACACAAAGAGAGGAAAGGAATCAATTAAGCTGCATTTGGGCGAGACTCATCTCTATCTATCTCCTACCTTATCGAGTATGTCTGCTCGGTTGGTGCTGGCAAGCATAAGTACACCCTCTTTGGTGGCCATGCCGTCCATTTCGACTAGGAGTTGGTTAAGTGTCTGCTCGGACTCGCCGGAGCTGCCCTGGCCCATGCTTTCGGTGCCGGAACGCTGACGTCCGATAGCGTCGATTTCGTCTATGTAAATGATGCAGGGTGCCCGCTTCTTGCCTTCCTTGAACAGATCACGGACGCGTGCGGCGCCCAGGCCGCCAATCATTTCAATGAACTCGGATCCATTCATGCTGAGGAACGGCACCTGCGCCTCGGTGGCCACCGCCTTGGCCAACAGCGTCTTGCCACAGCCCGGTGGTCCCAGCAAGAGGGCGCCGCGTGGCACCTTGGCGCCCAGTCGCTGATACTTTTCGGGTGACTTCAGATAGTCCACGAACTCCTTCACCTCCTGCTTGGCTTCACTGAGACCGGCCACGTCGCGAAACAGTACGCCACGGCCACCATCAAAAGGATCGACTAGCGTGAACTTGGCCCTGCCCATTTGGTTCTAAGGAATACACAATTGAAAATCAATCAATCAAGCGATAGGATATCGAGGCACTGTATCGAAGATTACTAACGAATGAATCCATACTGAGCGGGCTCTTCATGCTCTTCATACGCGTCGCTATGGACATGAGCAGGGCGCAAAAGAGTAACAGCATCAGGATGCGGCCCGTGGTATCTGTTTGTCGATCATAGGTGACCGGGACGCCGTCTGTGATGCCCAAGCGCTTCTCCACCATACGCAACTTCTCCTCGAATTTGTTAGCATCCGCCACAGCCATGTGAAATATGGTAGAGGTTACTTTGCGACCCTTAATCACAGCACCATCGTGCAGGATAATCGTAACCATTTCCATATCCGGGCGTATGATCAGTTCTTTGACCTCGCCCACGGCTAGCATATGGTGAACAAACTCATTCCAGGAGACGTAGCGTGTGGAGCCCTCTGGTCGTTCGGTGCGCGGCGTTATAAGCAACGAGATGAACGCCACAAACATATATATGGTGAATAGCCATAGTACCGCCTTTGTTAATACCGACCGCATTTTCTCATCGTTTTCATTGTTTTTGTTGTTATTTGGATTGGAGGCCTCGTCGCCAGAGCCGGGCCCAGCCGCGGAGCTCGGTCTGGGCTCTTCTTCTCTGCCCTTGATGCCCTCCGCACTCCTTCCGCTGTTCTCTGGCTCAGTTGTGTTGGGGACTGAAGTAGGTTTATTGCCCGCCGTGTTGCTGCTTTCTTTGCCGGAGCGGGGCTTGTCTGCTTCTGTATCTGCCTTGCGTGAACAAAAGCATCGCATATGCAGTTGCTGCACCTCACGTGGAGTCAATTGAAGCGAGCGTGCAACTACGCCTACAATTGCCTTGTACTCCGCCCGCAGCATTTGCATCTGATGGTGATGGGCGAAATGTATTTAATTGTGAGACAGTCTCACACTGGGATGCACAACTCACCTGACGCCAGCTTAATGGGTGCAGGGCGGGAGAATTTAGCTGTCGCTTAAGATTGCTGGGTAATCGTGTGTCGGTGCTCGCGGCTGCGGCGGCGGCGGCAACAGTAGCATCGCCATTTGACTGGCCATTGTGTGTCACGTAGGTATGGCCGCGTGCCACATTGTAGGGTCCACGTTGCAGCACAGTTCTGACATGTCGTAAGCCTTTGAACATAATTCCTAGCCACTTGTATTATGGCTACTTGTGGCCGCCGGTTCGAATACGTAACTTTCAGTTGTTTGCTTGAAATTACATGCATTAGAGTTGCCACCCCGGCGCAAAACGCGGCTGGCCTGTCACAGCAGCGCTCAATCAGCTGTTCGATGTTGTTGGGGGGGCAGTAAGTAAACTATTAATTTGTTTCATAAAGATGTCATTTTGAAAGCCACATTGTTATAGTTTTCAGTGTGAGAATTGGGAAAACAAATACATAAATATGCCCGAGGATTTATGCGAACGCATTTTAGTATTATCATATTTACTATCGAAAATTTCATATTAACCCTTAAGTGACCACCATTCGAGAGAATAGTCTATATATAGTCCGGCTGCTTAAAATGAAAAATTCCGAAAGGCGTTAATCCTTAACATATTGTATACATATAAATTTTTCTTTTTATTCATATATGCATATACAAAAAAATACATAATAATAATAATGCTATACAAAATTACTTCGTACTACACAATAATAATGTCACTGAATCGAGTAGCTAATTTGTTAAGTGTTTTTGATCCTTTAAATTTGTTCACTGTTATTATCAATAATTACTATTCACTGAGCCATCAAATGGACCCATGCTATCGCCAAAGTCCTGCATTTCCTCGTCGATTTCGTCATCAAAATCATCGCCCAATTCCTTCGTCTCTGGACATTGTCGACAACGACTCTCATTAACACCATAGTTAATGCACGTAGAGCCTACACATTCACAGCAGCTATCATGGAACCATCTAAAAAAAAGTACATATATTTTACTAATGTAAAAATATAATATGTATGATAATCCGGAATGGAATTGGACTCACCTACAACTGCTGGCACCCATTGTTTGACAGAACTGACGGCATTTATTTAATGATACGCACTGATCTAAATATATAACCGTACAATTGACTGTCTTCGTATTGTCACGTTCCTCATGAGCCTCTTCCAGATTTTTGTCATTATATTCTTTAATAAGGATAAGAATATGGATTTATTAGTTATGTACATCGGTAACTATTCTATATTCTACTCACTTAAATAGTATTTCTCATCTTTATCCAGTTTTGGTTTACCCCTAGACCAATCTACTTGGAATGTGAAGACATCCCAGTATTCACTTTCACTATCCTCTGTAGTGGCCAGCACATCGAATAGTTCTGGAACGCCTTCAAAATCCTCAACGTGTGATTTTTTGGACAGCGCATTCCGCGTTTCATTTGGCTTGGGACACAGTTCTGCAAGTTAACAAAAAATTGTTAGCCATGGTCGTAACATAGGTGTTAAAGTGCAACTATCTTATCGGCTTTGCAACGGCGGCTCAACTATCGATAGTCAGACAATGCGCGATAGCCATAGTTACACATCTCAAAGAGCACAGACACACACATGCATACATATACAAACAAGGCAACTGCGACAACGCAATAATGAATAATGATAATGTCGCACTAGATCACATCATCAGAAAAATATGTATATGTAAACATGTAACTGATAGCAAATACTCACCCACACAACTGCAGCACTCCTCATAGTACTTGATGCCTAAGCATTTGAGGCACTCCTTGCAGCAGGAGCAGTTCTTAAGCTCGCATTTGCAACTCTGCGTCAACATGCACTTGGACACTATCGAGGCGCAGACAACTTCGTTGCACGACTCCACCACGCCATAGAAGCATGCAAATCCCAATGCTAGAAATGCGCCAACCGTTAGCAAGCGCCACACCTCCATTGTGATATATATGTTTAATATATAATATTGCAAATACAAATGTTTTCCTTTAGTTTTGTTTATGATAATAAGGGTCCCCACACACTGTTTTCTTCGGGTGGGTGGCTTGGCGGTGTATTTGAATTGCACACGAGTAACACAAACAGAACGAGCAACAGAGAGAGATATGGACGGAATACGCAAGCGACACAAGCCGATAGTTTGAAAGACTTTAATTGATTGATCGAGAGTCAATCTCGACTGACTGAATAATAGCTGGCTTGCAAATCAATTGCAGCAAATAACAATAAAGAAATATTTATGTATGTACACAGAATATAAATAAAAACAACACAACACAAACAATTGTTAACTATTGCTACACATAGAGAACATTACGAATATATATGCATTTATTACTTATTTATGAATATATATATTTGCTATTTGATAGATACATAGAAATTGGATTTTGTAGCGCGTTATTTTTTGTCGTATTTGCAGCACAAGGCACAAGAACAAGTTTTGGAATGAGCTATGAATATTTTACTAAATCATTGAATAAGTCAGTCACAGCGCGTAACAACAACAGCAAGCGGCGGCAACATCAGCACCAGCGACAGCACCAGCAGCAGCAGCCACAGCAACAACAATAAACGACACCACGACAAACACTAACAAAACGAAACAGAAGACAAAACACACACAGCGATCAACGATCGACAGATGAGAGAGAGAGGAAAACGACGACAACAACGACAACGATGTCGATGTCGATGCCGACGTCGACGTCGACGACAACGAGACGGCGTCAGCTATGTAGCTTGTTTTTGTTATTGACGCGACACAGCAGGGCATAACTGTCTTTATATTTTTGTTGTTGTCTCTCTCCTGTCTTTTTTCCCAGCCAGGCCCAGAGGCTAGTCAGCCAGTTAGTTAGCTAGATACAATGCGCGAATTAAGCGCCCGCGCAGACACACCACACGCACACATACACATGATCAAACGGAGGCTTGGAGAAACGTAAACACGTTACGAAGCATTGTTGGCATGCGAGGAGGGGAGAAGTTAGGACGCGAGTGCGATCGCGAGCGCGTTCATTAACTGAATGATGGACTACCGCAACGAGATGCGAGCCAACAACAACAACAACACCACAAACAAAACGATCAATACACACATCAGCATTAAGATCCTAAAGGTATTTGATTGGAATGCTCTCAGCATCAAAGTGTGTCCATGTGTGTGTGCATGTGTGCGCGCGTTGATATTTGCAATTGTGTGTAAGCCGCGTTATCGACGTCGATTTTTTTAAAGCTGCACTATCGGCATTTTCTCGAAGCTAATCGGATACATGTTTGACTTATTTAAGTAGGCCTATGATTATCTGTAATAAAACAATGAAATACAAGCTGACAAACACAAATATAAAGTAAATACATTCATTGTACAGTTACTGCAATATCCAAATTTAAATAGATTTTATTTTTGATATTTTCCAATTATCAGTATCGATTCTCTAATTGCCAGTGATATTCTTAAGACCTTTAAACAAGTCAAACATTAAATTTAAATTAGTAATAAAAATTTATTAAAATAAGTAAGTCCACAAAAGGTTCAACTATTAAGCGTTGCAAATCTATCAGCGAAACAGCTGTTGAAGTCAACACGAAACKCTCTCATCTCTATTGTTCCATGTCCAATAATAAGAATATTCGCAACGTTTGGCAACCCTGAGTGAGCTAAGTAACAACAAAAATAATACCGCTGCCTCAAATCGCTGGAAATTACAAATCAAACACAACTAAATGATTGTGTTTAGGAATTGTGCGGTGCTTCTGGTGATTGCCTCAATATGCAGTTTCTTATATGGCATTGCACACATACACCTCGAGGTGGAGCCCAATGCTTGCCGAATGACTTATATGTTTGGTGAGCCAAGATTTGCGGTAAGTTGTGATAAGCGAAACGCTTCAAATATATATTAAGCCTTAACGACCAAATTTGTTTTACAATTGTGTAGCGCGTTCGATTTAATGCCAATAAGCTATTTCCCAACTATGGCCTATACTATTATTATGAAGGTATGCGCCAGCCTCTGGATCCTCTTAAAACACGTATGACTGGAGCTCCAGTTATCTTTGTGCCCGGCAATGCCGGGTCGTACAAGCAGGTACGCTCCTTAGCATCAGTGGCGTTGCGCAAGGCAGGCGAACATCCACATACAGGCAAACATCTAGATTACTACACAATTGACTACGATGAGGAGCTGTCGGCTCTCTATGGCGGCTATATGTATCATCAACAATCGTTTCTCAAACACTGCATACGTACCATTGCTTCACTATATAGTCAGCCCAGCCCCGTTGTGCTGATCGGCCATTCCATGGGCGGCAAGCTGGCCCAGTCAGTGCTAACCGATGCAGAAATCAGTCAGCATATTAATGCCATTATCAGCATATCGACACCACTCGATCATCCGGTGCTCAACTTGGATGCACATCTGGGCCGATTCTATAGCGAGACACACGAGCAGCTCAGCCGCACACGCACCGCCACCCAGCCGTCAATCATGACAAATGTATGCCAGAGCTTGCATCAGAAGCCGCTCAGCGAGCAGAGCATGACCAACCAGGATCTATCCGCCAAGCTGGATAATGTCTTGCTCATTTCTACGGGTGGCGGCAATCGAGATCTGCTCGTGCAGGCCGGTCTGACCACCTCGCAGTTCAACGATCTACATGCCATGGCAAGAAACAATAGCAAAGTTATCAATTTACTCCCCGCTAAAATTCTTTCCTTCCGCAGACCTCGGCTATACCACGCGTGAGCCTTAGCTGTGACCACTTATCGGCTGTCTGGTGCCTGCAGTTCATGCAGGTCATCAATGGCTTCCTGTTCAGCATTTCCCAGCGACGAGATGATGGCTCAGTGGTCTTTAGCAACAACAAACATCGCAACATGCAATCTGCATTAGGACACTTTGTGGTAAATGACATGCGGGGCTTCTCAACTTGCTCAATCCATTTAACTTATTCTGTATATTGTAGAAATCGCCGACACGTCAGCAGAGCTTCATAAAGATTCCAACCCACAATAATTGGCATGAAGAACGTAGTCTAGTCATCAACAAGTTTTTCACTAACGGCCTAAAAAGTCATTATTATGAGCTGATTGGTTTAGGTCGTCAGCCACGCTATAAGGTTGCATCTAATTTAGTTTAACAACATCTCTAAATACACTGTTCACAAAGCGCATCGAGAGCGTATTGCTTTCAGTGATTTAGCTTTGAGAACGTAGTATTGAGCTGTTGGCTAAAATTAACACCAAATTCTTATGTGTTCTCATTTTTTGCGACTCTCTAGAAACTTGCCATTGAGGCTCTGAACATTGACGGCGATGAGAATTGGCTATTCGGCTGTGAATCATATAGGAACATTGAAACCGGACAGAACTATTGGTGAGCGCTAGCATCCGCATCCACACAAGCAACTAATTCTCTCTCTCTCACTCTTTCTCTCGTTTTAGCCATAAGGCAACGTCTTTAACACATCTCGTTCAGCGTCTGCCCAATGCAGACCAAGATCCCAGAAGCGTTGCAATTCTTGATTTGCACAATTTACGCAACACATATGAGAAGTGGACCCACTTGCTCGTGCGCTTGCCGCCGGGCAGTCAACGCACTGGCTATAATCTGGACATCTATGACCCCAAGGATCGCATCCTAGACATACGCATGCCGCGCTGGTATGCATCTGGGCGGCGCGTCGCTATTAACGAGACACTACAAGGCACCATACACTATCGCATGCGCATTGCCGATCTGGTCGAACCGTATCAGAGCCTGCGCGTTTACATTGATCCGCAGAACTGTCTACAGCCGAAATACCGGATCACGGTCCGTCTGTGCGTGCCCTGGGCAGCCGGCTTTGAGCGCTACCACACTCTGACGTAATATTTCCGTACAGCATCTAACGCTAGGCCAAAGCTAATCGTTTGTATTTTCAGTTCACCAGATCAAAAACCTGGACTTTACATCAATGTGCCCGTCGTGATGCCTCGACATTATAATACCACATTGAATCCAGTTTTGCTCGACTTGTACTTGGATCCCATTTGCCGTTATCGCATTAGGTAAGATATGCATATAGAATAGGAAATTTAAGATAGAATAGAACTAACGTTCTTTCTAATATTGCAATTTCCATTTTTGTTGGTTCAAAGTCATAGATTAGATATGCCTCTCTCATTTGCACTTATGGCAACAACTCTAACTCACTCTCCCTCTCACTCTATCTATCAATCTATCTCTCTCTTAGCTATGAGAATTCCTATGCTGATGCCTTGTCACGTATTGTACTTGAGTTCTATGGCTGGATGCCAGCACATTTCGTATGCGTGCTGTTGATTGTGCTGCGCAATCAGCTGGACAAGTTTCAGGTCGCGGGCAGCTTCCAGAGCTTGAAGCCCTACATTGGCTACTTGCAGTACACATCGCTCTATGTGGTAACAGGTATAGTCAGCCACACCCAAATGCTATCCTTATCGAATTTACATTCAAATTTGGAATTTGGAATTTCAGGCTGCCGCTTGTTCAAGAAGTTGGTACTCAATATGAAGATGTTGCCGATACCCGAGCAACTGGACTATAGCATTAATATATCGATCATAATCCATTGCACCGCCATTGGGCTGTCGGTGATGACCGCTTTGGCCTTATGGTTTTGTTTGACCACCTATGGGAATGCGATCCATCGTCTGGCGTTGCGTTTGACACGCCTATCCTCATCCGGCTCGAACATAATGCTCTCGATCATGACACATTTGCCGATCACCTACGGCATACTGACAATTAGCGTTGCTCTGGGCGCTTGCAGCGGCCTGGCCCTGTTTTTGGCGTTTGTTTTCTATTTCCTGATGGTATCGAATGCCTACAAGGACTATCTGGAGGACTATTTGTGGCAAAAGGCGGCCAATTTAGTGCACATGGCAACCGGCATTGGCAAGAACTCAAAGACCACTAAGGAAAATCAATCTACAGCTGTAGCTAACGCCATAGACCAGTCGCCAGTGCCCAGTGATGATGATGAGCAGTCRCAGAATCAAGGACAAGATGAGCAACACGAACAGAAACCGCTGCAGCCCAACAAGGATAAAGCCGAGGAGGAGCTATGCGTTGGCTTGCAAAACTTTTCCTTCCATGTAACCCTACTCCTATTGCTGCTGACACTCCTATTGCTTAGTGTTCCGGCCAGCTTGGCCTGGCTGCGCAGTCGCAGGTGCGTCTCCTACTCCCGATTTGTAATATGGTTTCTAGATATACATATGAATCATCCATTTACAGACATGGCATTATTCTACCCGATCCAGCTTTACATACAACCATTGTGTCCATTAGCTCAATTAGCTTGCTGCTGCAGCTACGCTCACCTCAGAAATTGTAAGTAAACAACGTATTCAAGATGAATTAATTAATTTGAAATACGAATGTAAATTCACTTTGCTAAATGGGCAGCACTTTTTCCCATTTGTTTGCTATTAACAAATATTTCAGTTTGTTCATATTTGAAATCGTTTCATTATTTCGTTATAGACCTGGCTATTGGATTCTGTCCGTCTTGTTGTATTTGTGTGCTGGAACTACCTTGCTCTATTGTCAAATTGCTATATATCGACTGAACTATATCATCGCTGGAGCCTTCGCAGTGATCGCCATACATCAAGTTCTCCAACGTTTATATCACAAGCTGCGCCCCGCAGCCACTTAGGATTAATGACAAAAAAAAAAAAAAAAAAACCCACAAAAGCCAATCAAAACAATTTCCAATGAATGTAAGAAGTTCCTTTTTTTTTTTTTAGTTTTAGTTACTCGGTTTGTGTTGCGGCTCGTTTTAGACATGTAAAAAACGAATGCGAAAATCCCGATTTCTGTTGTAGACTTAGTCAACATTTGCCTGTAACCAAATAAGCGACACCAAACGCCACGCACAAGCCATTGCCCAAGGAGACGTCCAGTTGGATAGGCAATGCAAAACTCTGCAAATGGAAATGACGGGAAGTCCATAACGATCTGCTCCACAAATCTAACCCAAATGGATAAATGGAGGCTGTGAACGCCCCAAATCGATACAAATTAATAATACGAATGAATGAAAAAAATAACCAAAGAAGAAACCAACATGAAAACAAACCGAAAATTTCACTCCATATTTATGGCATGTGTGAAAAATGAATTGCAAATTACACTAAACAACATAATCGAGACACGTGTTTACCGTACCTTATTGGCGAAATGAAAAATGTTAATCAAATAATTAATTAGTCTACATTTATTTTATGTGGGGATATTTGTGTTATTTATATCGTAAGATCTATATATTAGATCTACAAGTCTTCTACTCTGTATACATCTGTTATATAGTATGTAATATGCATATATAGCGCATTAGTCATAATATTAGTTTCGTATTTTTATTATTTTTATTTTTATTTTTTTGTGTTTACAAATTTGTAAATTTTTTATTTACTTAACTTTTCAG